TGTGTGTGTGTGTGTGTGTGTGTTTGTGTGTGTGTGTGTGCGCGCTTCAGGTCGTGGCGGCTGGAAGACTCATCAGAAGAGTAAACTGAATGTGATCATGAGACAGGAGGAGCTGATCGCTCAGAAGAAGAGAGAGATCGAGGCCAGACTGAAAGAACAGGCTCAGAAGAAGCAGAAGCCCGTCCAGAACCAGAACCTGGACCAGAACCAGTCCAGCAGGTGACGCACGGCTCTGATCATCAGTACAGCAGAACAGACCTGATCTGTGTGTGTGTGTTGATCTCTCTCTCTCTCTCTCTGTGTGTGTGTGTGTGTGTCAGTTCTCCTCCCTCAGAGGCATCTTCATCCTCCTCCTCCTCCTCCTCCTCCTCATCAAACAAGTTTGTGAACGACGGCAGTTTCCTGCAGCAGTTCCTGAAGATGCAGCGAGAGAAGTCCAGCGCTGACGAAGGTTTGTTTCTCTCTCACACGTCACGGGTGTTTGCTTCAACAGTATCTGCACCACTGCAAATGTGATATTACAGTTCAATAAATAAGAAGTTGATACACTGTTACATTTTAGACAAATACTGTATGTTTTTGCTCAACTTCACCAATGAAAACCGCTCTAAACAGCTTTTCGTTCCTGAATGAATCAGTGTTTTGAACAAATCAATGATTCGATGACTCACTCATACAGACAGTGACTCAGTCGTTTGAACGAATCAGTTGAATGAATGACTCACTTAAGACATTTAACTCACTTTTAGTTTCATATTTAAATCATTTTATTTTTTAAGTGTTTTCATCTTTCAATATTCAAAATATAATTTTTTAAAACATTAATAGTAATGTTTAATATTATCATGCATAGTGTTATTTATACATGTGTAAATGCGGCGTTAGACGCAGCATCTGTGCCGCTTCTGCAGAGCAAACAAGGGTTTTGTTTACTAATTTCATCTGATTGATGACAGTCTATAGTTTCTCATTATTCTAACTGAATATATAGATCAAATGTGAGAATCGGATGCATCTAATTAAGGTTAGGTTGTCAGCTGATCACTGCACAGAATATGATGAATATGAAAGGTTTTGTGAGCCAGCTGATACGAAAGTCCTAAACCAGCACACTCCGTCTAATTATAGTTATACCCCTGGTCTTGCGTCACTATAACATGAGCGCTTGTACTTCTGCTGAAGTGAAAAGTGAAATAATAGTGCATTAATGAGGCTGTAATTCAGCTGGATTGTAGTTTTCTCACTGATGTGAAACTTTTGGCCTCAACTGTAATTACAACCTTGTGGTGATGTTCATGCGCATTGTACTGAATACTTTTAAAATGCACCATGTGATCTGCTCTGTTTGGACTGTTGTGCCGCTCTTGTGCTGATGTCATTTCCTGTAGGATCGGCCGGCTCCGCCCCCAGCGCTCAGAGCCCGCCCTCAGCCGGAGGTCAGGCTCAGAAGAGGAGCGTTCTGATCGGAAAGCGGCCCGGTCTGGGGGTCAGCAGCATGATCAATCAGTTCAAGAACTACTCTCCGTCCAAGAAGACAGCGCTGCCCGCGGCCCGACCCAGTGTGTTCAGCTCCCCCGATGATGACGAGGAGGAGGACGATGATGCAGACTACCTGGAGGTCAAAGGTATCGCACTCTCCACGTTTTGACCAGGGAACGTTCATCTAAAGGCCTGTTGACAGCAGCATTCTTCCTCTGGTTGAGTTAACGTGACTAACTAAAGGACTAGTTCACCCATCAGTCAAACTCATGAAAGGAGACGTTTAGCAGCATGTTCTCGCTGCTCTTTTACACAAGAGGGACGTGGATTGTTATTGATACTGTGAAGCTCCAAAAGCACCATAAATATTCATAACAATCCGTATGATTTGCACTATTGGCTTCTGAAGTTACATGATGCGTTGTGTGAGGAGCAGACCCACATTAGTTAGTTTATTAAGTCAGCATGAAGTGGAAATCCACCCTATTTGTATTCTAAATGCATGTTATAGATCTTATTGTAAACAGTCAATTTTTTTTTTATGCTGTGAGCTCATAATGTTTAATCAAATCCTCATAACTGGATCTTCTCTCTGGATTTCTCCAATCGTTTAGTCTCTTAAACTCCGCCCCTGCAGCTCTCGCTCATCTGCATACACTTTTGAGAGCCACGCCCACATCTCAACATCCAATCAATGAGGACCAAGTCCCGCCCTGCATTGATTCTTAGTTTCAATCAAATATGCGTCATAATACAGAAGAAAAGCTCTGTTTAGCTATGACTTTGAGTCCTGAATAATTAGTGCAAGCAGGCATTCAATTCTGACACGTGAAGTAAAACTATTATAAAATACAGTTGATAAAGCTTTGCCTGAAGATGAAGAGATTTTTGTATACTGACCTGAGAATCATTTTTTCTCTGTTATTATTTCAGCAGTCGTGTCTTGTTTGTTTTCTATCGGCTGTTTAGAAATGGCAAATGAATCGCTCTTTTGATCGAACAGGTTTGCAAAGCGTTCTGAAATTGTTTGCGATTCCGGTTTGATTCATTTGGACAGTGCACTCGCACACTGAACCTTTTTTTTCATAATTGAGAAATCTGCACCCTCAGATTCCAGATTTTCAAATATTGTCCGATCCTAACAAACCATACATCAATGGAGAGATTATTTATGTGTGATGTATAAATCTCAATTTCACAAAATTTTACCCTTATGACTGGTTTTGTGGTCCCGAGTCACAAATAGTATTTTCTTTTAAAACATACAAAAAATTGTATGCATGAGGTGATATCTATCGACGATCCATTGTAGTGTAAGAAACAAACTTGTAAATGTCTGTGATTAAGCAGCAATGCTTATTAACGAGTCTGTGCTGCACTGTATGTACGTAACAGTTTCAAAATATGAAGTGCAGCTCCAGTGCTGATGAAAGACTAGAAAGGCTCAGGTTTAGCTTTAAGATCATGATGAATAAGCGGCCCGCTGCTCACTCCGTTCATCGTGTGACTGTATGTCCGTCAGATTATCAGATGTGCTGTGTACAGTGTTTGCGTTATGCTGGCGTTCTCATAGCCTGCTTAAAGTTTCCCCCCCAGAGGACGGAGATCTGCGGCTCGTCATCGATAAGATGGCCTCGTTTGTCGCCGAAGGCGGTGCTGAGCTGGAGAAGAAGGCCATGGAGGACTACAGAGACGATCCCATGTTCTCGTGAGTTCCTCATCTGTCACTGGTAGCTCGTTGTTTTCTGTGTTGAGTCCAGATCTTCCAGCACTGACTCTCTCCTGCGCAGGTTCCTGTTTGAGAAGAGCAGTAAGGAGTATCTGTACTACAGGAGGAGAGTGGCGGAGATCAGACGAGACGCGCCGCGTCAGACCGATGGTGAGAAACACGTTTAACAAACTGCAACAATGCCTCCATTCCATTCGAGTATTGGATTTTTTAAAAAAATCCTTGATTTCATATTGCCCGCGTCGAGTAATCAACTAAAAACCAGAGGTGGCTCATTTCACAGACGAGAATCCAGGAAACGCATTATTAGACCGTTTTCCAAGGCAGCATGAAAAATCATAATGAAGCATAATTCTATTGTGAATTCACAAACGCTACGATTCAATTAAATAAGTATATGCGATGCAAGTTTAATAAATGTGCTTTAGTTATTTATGTGCGTGTCACAGTAAACGCTGCTCCGCACAAACTCTTATCATTTACATGTGTGGAGCGTCTCAAACTCATCTCTGCATGTTGTTGTGTGTTTGGGTTTATTATAACGTTTGTCTGGGAATGCAAATCATTTATGAACCTACGCAAACTCAGGAGAACACATCAGTATCTTTCTCAATATGTTCATCGCGATTTCCAAATGAAAGCTCAAACCCTCGCTCTGAGTTTAAACGTTTTGATATCCACATATTCAACAAATTGCAGTGGCTATAGCATTTCTGTCCTAAAGAAATGGCCACATATTAAAGATTAAGTGGAAATTCGAATTAAATGTTTAGTCAATATTAAACAAGTATTAGAGCACATTTGACCCCCAAAGCCCGGTTCGTTTGAGTAGTGTGACCGCTCCGGTTCATTTAGCTGTCTCTGGCTCGGTTGGAAGAGGTGGGCCAAAGCGCGGTTCTTCTGATACGTGCAGCATGATCGCGTGAACATTTCTGAGCGGCAAAAGTGATTAATCTGTTAAGCGATATATTGTGAGAGAGTCGTGTGTCACCGCGTCCCAAAGACTCAAAATAATAAACCACAAAGTTAACAAAACGATGCTCTCCTCTGTGCTGAGCGAGAGTGCTTCTCTGCTGTCGTCACTATCAGAAACTTTCCTATTACACACTTATGAAGTTGTGATTACGAGTTTGTTGCGTTCAAGTGATTTGTTGTCGGAAATAATTAAATGTAATATTCCATTGGTTGATAACCATAAACATTCACTGTGCTAGATACTCAGCTTGATACGATTCTGGAATTTCGGTCAAATACATGATTATCTTATCTTAGAATACAATATGCTTCAAATACCTATAAACAGTGAAATAAGCATAAGTTAAACTCCTGCTGTTCTTCAGAAAAAAACCCAGCTCCTGCAGATTCTTCAGTTTTCCAGCATCTTCTGCATATTTGAACCCTTTCCAGCAGTGACTATGGTTTTGAGATCCATCTTTTCACACTGAGGACAACTGAGGGACTCATACATAACTATTACAGAAGGTGAAAACATCTACTGATGCTCAAGAAGGCAACACAATGCATAAACTTTTTTAATCGGATAATCAGGGTAAATTGTACTTGTTTTTTCTTCTGGGAAACATGTAAGTATTTATGTAGCTTCTTAAGTGCAGTACCAATTGAAAAAAATATGATCGTTAAACAAAATTATGAAACATTTACACATCATCATCCTGTTCAAAAGTTGACACCCCCGGCTCTTAATGCATCGTGTCTTCTTCTTGAGCATCAGAACATGTTTTCACCTTTTGTAATTAAGTATGAGTCCCTCAGTTGTCCTCAGCGTGAAAAGATGCATCTCAGAATCATACAGTCACTGCTGGAAAGGGTTCAAATATGCAGAAGATGCTGGAAAACTGAAGTTTTCTGAAGAACAGAGATCAGTTGAACTGTTCAGAACAAACAAGGGACTCATGAACAACCATCACTAAACAGAAAAACAGTCGTGGATCATCAGGTAACCACACACTGTATTAAGATTCAAAAAAACTTTTGAAGGGGGTTATTATTATAAATTCAGTTATTTTGTCGTCTTGTGGAGAGTATATATAAACATCTGCTAAGTGAAATAACTTATTCAGGAGAGTACTAAATAAAAATAACATGCAATTTTCATGATCACTCTTATTTAGTTAAAATTAACATATTTGCATATTCTGCAAGGGGTATGTAATCTTATGAGCACAACTGTATGAGCTTATGAGCTATACATAACAAATATACACAGCACACACATATATTGTGCAAACAAGAACTTTTATTTTGGATGCAATTAATTGCGATTAATCGTTTGCACCAATGGACACGCCTCATCCGTCATCTGTAGATGTGCGTTCAGTCGTGTAGTGTACACATCCAGCCGCAGTAGAGCGTCTCAGACATGTGTGTGTCCGTGTGAGTGTGTGTCCGTGTGAGTGTGTGTGAGAGTGTGTGAGAGTGAGTGTTTCCGTGAGTGTGTGTGTGTCCTGTGTGTCCTGTGTCCTGTGTCCGTGAGAGTGTGAGTGTGTCCGTGAGAGTGTGAGTGTGTCCGTGAGAGTGTGTGTGTCCTGTGTGTCCGTGAGAGTGTGTGTGTGTGTCCGTGAGAGTGAGTGTGTGTGTGTGTGTGTGTGTGTGTGTGTGTTTGTGTGAGTGAGTGAGAGTGTGTGTGTGAGTCCGTCAGGCGTCATTGTGCTCTTCCCAAACCCCATCCAGCTCTCTCTCTGCTGCAGTACACTCACTCATAATGGAGCTTGTTTAGTTTGAGCTGCTGGTTCTGATAGACTGCTTAGTCTCCTCCTCAGTGGATGACAGCACCAGGAAGGTGGCGGAGAAACTGGCGCACTTCGTGGCGGACGGCGGCACGGAGGTGGAGATCATGGCTGCTCAACACAACCGAGACAATCCCGCCTTCAGGTGAGATGCTCCTAAAGGAGATTTAATCAAACCACACCGTCTGTGACTGGAGAAACTGAGAAGAAGGCCTGTGGCATTCACCTGTGTCAAACACCCACAATGCACTATATTTAACATGGATATTAAACTCACCAGAAAGTGATTACAGAAGTTGTCTAGAACAGGGAGGCACTGATAAACAGAAGATGATGTTTTTTGCTCTTTCTCAGTTTCCTGTACGACTATCAGAGCGCGGCTCATCGCTTCTATAAGGCTAAAGTGGACGAGTTCCGTCAGGATAAGAGCAGCAGTGAATCGCAGACGGCCGTCTCACAGGAACACACACACACCGCCGCCAAGAGGAAGAGGAAGAGCCGCTGGGGAGCCGAGGATGATAAAGTGGAGCTGCCCACGCCAGCGCTTATCAGCCCTACTGCTCCAGCGGCCGGATCCAGCACTCCTGCACTGACAGGTACACACACACACACACACGGACACACTCACACACACACACACACACACACACACACACACACACACACACACACACACACACACACACACACACACACACACACACACACAACGCACACACACACACACTCACTCACACACACACGGACACACTCACACTCACTCACACGCGAACACACACACACTCACTCACACACGGACACACACACACTTACTCACACACGGACACACACCCAAACACACGGACACACACACTCACTCACACACGGACACACACTCACTCACTCACACACGGACAGACACACTCACTCACTCACTCACTCACACACGGACACACTCACACACGGACACACACACACACGCACACACAATCACACTCACTCACACACGCACACACACACACTCACTCACACACGGACAGACACACTCACTCACTCACTCACTCACACACGGACACACTCACACACGGACACACACACACACGGACACACAATCACATTCACTCACACACGGACACACACACACTCGCTCACACACGGACACTCACTCACTCACACACGGACATACACACACTCACTCACACACGGACACACACACACACTCACTCACACACACACACACACACACACCCACACACTCACA